TTCATCAAGGAACGATCAACCTACTCTTTTCGCGTTTCAGAGAATTCAATTTGCAAATGATGATCACATAAGCAAATGCGATTATAATTGTTGGTATCCAAAAAACCACCAGCAGATGCGCCATATTATAAACTTTTTCCCATCGATGAACCTAAAACTATTTGATTGATTGTGGTCGTGGAATTTTGGCATCGAAATTCGTCAAGTTGCGTTGAATTTCTGAATTAAACCGATGAAAGAAACTTCTCATTTGTAATAACACTAATCCAATGAGATCTCACAATTTCATGTTTAATCTAGACATTTGTCAATTCTTGAAACATTTCTTTGTCAACGTTCACAAAATTCTCGTCACTATCTGGATTTGATGCGATGACATTGTAAGAAAAAGACATTGAATGAATGTTTTCGATGACGAGTGATCGGGATGCTACTGATACCTGCATATAATGTGCAGCTAGCATATTCTTTTCTCTCTCAGTGGTTGTCGGCAGTTGAATGCGTAGATCGTACTCGTAGGCGATTGTTGTCCAAACTGGCGTACACTGTCTTAAGACTTCGAAAAATTCAATAAGTTTTCAAAAAACATTTCAATTCACAATAATTTCAATTCAGTTGATTCAATGCCTCATAAATTTTTGTTGCTTCCAGATAACAAAAACTACACGGCAAGAACAGTGATTGCACATGCACTCAAAAACACACACCTGAAATCGACCAATTCAAGCGGTTGAAAGACACGAAATATGAATATTTGCGGAATCGAGAAGATGGTAGCGCCCGCATAGGCAGCCACCAACGTGCGGAACACTCGACGGTTGGCACTTTCGAAAGCTTTCAATGAGCTGAAAAGTTTTGTTGGAAACCTTGTTCATTGATAGAATAATTCAGAAAATTTTGACTTTCGTCAAGAGGAGTTTGAGTTTGTAGGAAAATTCATAATGAAAAATTCTGCTAATAATCTGAACAATGGTTCGATAAGGTGATGAAAATATTGCTGATGAATTACTTGATTTTATAAGCACTACAAGCTCGATCGATCGCGATACCGGCGATAACGAATGAATTCAAATAAAAACTGAACGTGTAGAAAAATTTGCAAACACGACACAACACATCGCCTCCGTACCACTGAAAATAGTTTTTGATAATGCGAA